CTCTCCATCTCCAGCAGTGCCTGCTCCATTTGGCTTTTTTCTGTCAAAGCTTTCAGCACCAAGCTACAGTGACTTTGAAGAGCATCTTCCACTAAATGGGGAAATCAATAAAAACCACATTTGGTCTTTCATTTGTAAATGTGAATAAAATACTATCAGTACTATTGCTACTTCCTGCATGGCTTGGCATGAATCACCACATGATTCTCCTGCTGTGATCTCCTCAAGCCCCAAGCAATGAACAATGGGGTGGATTTTTAATGCAAGGCACTTGAAATTTATAAAATGCTGCACATAGGCCAAACCTCATTTACTGCCCTCTGTTAATGTGGCAGCTGGAGAAGAGAGGTTGTGCAAAGCTGCAGAATTTGGTAGGCTGAATGCAGGGAAGGCTGAGGCTTGGCTGTCTGCCAGGTGCACAACAGGCATGGCCAAGGCAGGAGGACCCCAGTACAGATGATCCACCCTGTATAAACACTCATGCAACCACGTGATGGTAAATGGAGCTTGAACAGGATGGAGGTGTAAGAGGTTAATGGCTAAGTGCAACCAGACAAACTGTGTCAAAAATGCACAGGAGGCTGCAAACTGAAGGAAAACTGCTGGAAGAAATAGAGGGAAATTATGAAGGAGTGTGCAAATAATTGGAATTTCCATTTTTTAGATATGGGAAGAGATGGGGTCAGAAACCACCTGAACCAGGCAGCTGTGCCCAGCACTTAGTAGTGAGGGCCCCAACAGGCTCCCTGGGAGGGTTTTAAATTGGAGCAAGTTGCTCTTGGCTTCAGTCAGTCTTGTTGAAAAACTGATAAAACCCCAGGGATTTGTGTTATATGATTGGATAAGAATATAACTCCTCCATACTGCTTCAATTACTCTTATAGGAACCACTGCTGTGCCTAATACACTACAGGATGGGAACACAGTTTGCATTGTGTGTGGAGATGAAAAGTCTTTAGCAGTTTTGTGGAAGTCCACTTTAAAATTGTAAATTAGGACGGAGATAAAGAGCTGAGAAAGAGTGGAGAGAAAGAGCTAAACATGTCTGGTCTTTCCTGTGAAGGGTGCAGGAAGGTGTGTACAGATAGTGTGGAATGTTGGCTGGTCTACATAAAACAGGATCCAAAGCACTCTTGCTAAGGTAAAGCACTGCCAAACCAACGGGCCAAACCAACTGAAACCCTGGCGTGCTGGAGCCAGAATAACTGAAACCCTGGCGTGCTGGAGCACTGCATACCTCAGAAAAATCACAATAAAGCCTACATTTCAACAAGCTGCTACAAGAGCTCTGCAACTAATGAATCTTCTTTTGCTACAGATCCAAGGTGTTTGATTGACTTTGGTGTCAGAGGAGCTGAGAGCCCATCTGAAGCTGTTCCTGCTCACCAGTGTTTCTCTCAGCTCCTTGCTGAGCACCTCTTGCCCCATAGTGCTGTGCTCAAAGGCTGCAGAGCTGCAGGGCACTGGGGATCCCTTCTCCTCCTGCTCAGCTCTTTTCATTAAGCTTCCAGGGACTTAATTATCTCAGTGAGCTGTGCCCTTCTGTCAAATTGTAGATGGAATTGGTTGAAGAGCTAAAAACTATTAAGGAGCGGCAGGCAAAAAGTGATTGTACAGGCTTTGCTTCTGTGAAAAAACAAGGATGTTTTAAAATTTTGGGAAGGAAGAAAGGAAAAAATGTGAGCAATTATGGGCTTAGTAATTTCTTTTTATATGGTGCAAGGTTTAGAACAGACTTTGAGGAGGAAAGTACTCAAAGATATGAAGGGAAATAGAATAAGAACAAGATTTTATAAAAGGTAGATTGTGATTTAACGCACCAAGACAAGGCAGGTGACTTCTTTATCAAAGACAACACAGTGGCCTTTCTGTGGATTCAAACAAAGATTTTCACTGGAAATTTTCATGCAATATAAAAAAGGAAAATTGAGAAAAAAGAAGGGGAAACTTAAAAAATAAGCCTCAACTAAAGCCACTCTTGAGCTGAGTGGCATAAGGGGACAAGGCAGCTCTGACAGGTGCTCATCAAGGCCCTCTCATGAGCCAAACAGGCTTAAAATCTGCTGTAGTCACCTGGGTGCAAAAGGCAAAGGACATTCACTTAATTAGCAAGTGACACAAGGATGCAAATGCCAGCACCAGAGGCTAGAGGGGAGATGGGGCAGTGGGGTGCGTGGCACGGCACCAGCTCTGGCTGACAGAACTGCTGTGCACCCCAGGATTTCTGGAAGCCCACACACCTTCCCAGCTGTCTATGTGCAAGGAAAGAAAGAGACTGAACTAGACATGGGCAGAGAAAAGCTACAAGTTAATTAAGTGCTTACATGGTAATCTCCTCTTATGAAAGGAGATTGAAAGTGTTTGTCTCATTCAGCCATGCAAAGCAGAGGCGCGGGGCGGCACAGGGCTGGAGGTGCTGCCCAGGGATGGACACAGGGAATGGCACCTCCTGGCACCAGGAATCCCCTGTGCCCTGCTTTAACTTTGCCTCCTCCAAAGGAGCCCTGCTTGGGCACAGTGCACACAGCTGTCATTTGGGAGATAGAACCCCGCAGTTGCCTTATCCATGCATTGTCCTCATACACATTTAATTAAAACCACCTCCCAGATTTGAGCTCGAGGGAAATTTCTCCATTATTTCAGGATGCACATCACCACATGGCTTTGCCTTGTTCTCTGTAGGAACTTGGCTGATTTCTGAGGATTATCTGCACATATTTCAAACAATATACTGTTGCAGACAATTTGGTTGTTGTTCTTAATCTTTTAGTGTTTTGTTCTGACAGATTTAGACCCTTTTAGAAACCTGGAAATCTATAATTTGTAGAATGGGTTTGTAACGGGGGAGTGAATGTTTGAGTGGGTCTGTAAGATGTTTCATCTCCCTGGTTAGAAACAAAGGCTACCTGCAATCTGCAGGTTTTTGGGGAGACTGCCAACCTACAAAGAGAAGGAGAGGAGCAGTGACTAAAGGAAGAAACTCCTTTTATGTCACTTTATCACCTTCCATGTCTACATAGTGAAGATACAGGAAAAGCCACATCTGCAAGTTTACCTTATCTTGCTGCTCTTCCCCATATGTTTAATTTTAGCTCAGAATTATTTTTAAAACTTTCTGGTTTCCCTAATCTATCTATTCTTCTTCAATATAGTATCCTCAGTCTAAAAATAGTCCTGCATCCACTGGGCTTGTGATCTGCACATACATTTGACTCAGCACAGCATGCTGCCGGCAAGCAACCAGCAGCCAGCCTTTTGAAAATGTTTCATTTATACGTGTGGGAGTATTCTGCAGAAAAAACCCTCAGTACAGAGGAAGGGCACTCTTCTTCCCTCCCTGCTTCCATACCCAGAGAGGTGTTCAGACTTGTCAAACACTAATAAACAAAGTAAAAATAAGTGTTAATAAAGGCTTACCAAAAAAACAGGCCTTGAGATGGCCAAATTAGATCAGATCAAGGACCCTGTTAAGTCTCTTTTCTTTGAATATGATCAAGAAAGGCTGCCTCAGACGTTTTCTTCAAATAAACCGTGCAGCAGATAGTTATTGAATAACTTGATCACAGACAGGGAATCTTTACTCAGTTAATGAATGACTTATGCACAGACTTGTGCCTCTCCTGAGGTAATTTAAACAAAGCAGTTTTTTACAGTCTGAAACATTGCTGTGTTTTGATTTGCTGTACCTTTGTCTTCGGATTCTACTGTTTACAATAATAACATTTGGAATATGAGATAAAAGGCTGAAGGACCTCAGGGTAGGGCTGCCACCCTGTGCTGCAGAGAGTTCCCTGCAAATCAGCTGCACTCCCAGCGGCTGAAACTCACAGCCTGAGCAGTCAAGGGAGGGAGCACCCGCCTCCCAGCCTAGGAATATTAAACATCAGCTCCTTCTGATGTCTCTCCATCATCATCTATGCAGCTCATCCTGAAATTGGCACTAAAGCACAGACGCTTTAAATAACACTTTGGAAGGAGGTTGGCTCCCCCACGCCCAGATTCAGTAGGGGAAATTGGAGGTCCTGTAAACCTGGTGAGACACGGGCAGGGAAGACAGCTCTGGAGCTCAGCAGAGTGCTGCATGTTCTCCCTGGGCAGCCATGGAGCTGTGCCAGAGGGTGAGACAGCTGGGCTGACATGGCTACATCCTGCTCAGATACACTCCAAGCACTCAGCTGCCAGGTTTGTGCTGCTTAGGCTGGGTCCCATTCCACAAGATATCAGCTAGCACCTGCATCGGGGGACTGTGGGATGGGCTGCCCTGATCTCACCCTGTGCTACAGCACACACTGCTCCAAGCCCTGAATTGTGACAATGAGGGGTTCCAGTATCCACTGGAACATCCACACTTCCTCTCACCATCCATACTGAGGTGTTTGGGAGTCTGGTTAAGTCCCTCAACAGCTCTGTTAGTCACTGCATGGCTAGTTAGCAGCTATATGGAAAAAAAAAAAAAATTTAAATCAGTTTCAAACTTTTTGACTTTTCAATCCATACAGGACATAAGAGAGTCTGAATTGGGTGTCCCAGTCTGGACCATACTGTTCAAGGTGAGCAAGCTCAAATCTCACCATTTTAAGCACAGCCATGTCCCCTGGAAACTTTGCCAGCAGCTGCTGGGCCTGGGGAGTCTGGCAGCAAGTCATGTTTGAGAACTGCTCACCAGGCCATGCATCTTGTCAGAGAACTGCACCACCTCATCCCTCTGTAAGTGACATACTGCACATTACTTTGTCACCCCTGATGGCAGTGTGTCAGAGGATTGCCTGTGGCATGCAGGCTGGGAGGATGCTGGTCATGTGCACTGCAGACAAGGTGTTGTGGAGGGTTCAGCTGTTCTGAGCTGTCACAGCTGGAACTACCAGATACCAGAACAGCAAAGCAGCACAGAGAAGGCTGAGTGGTGAAAATTGACATTTGTATAAAAAAATAGAAGGCTTTGATAGAAGTGTGGGTATGAAAATTAAAATGTGAAAAAGATTAAAAGAAACAAGCTACAAGAGTGGAAACCAGAAGGAAAGAGAAAATAATGACTAGGTAAGTCAACCAGAGAAACTCTATGCATATAAGGTGGAAGAACTAAGGCCACAGGGTCCATCTGTCTCTTTACTTCCCTGTGCACTCCACTCTGAGATGTGAGCAAGGCACAGAACACCTGTGCCTCTGTGGAAGATGCTCAGCCAAACCTTGTATCATCTCCAGTGCCAGACACAGCTCTATCCACTGTGTGCAAGCACATATGGACAAACACTCAAAAGAGAACATTTTAAAAAATCTTCCTGCACAGACCATGTCAGCCCAACAGCACATGGAAATGCTTTGGAAATACATTTTGAAAAATATTTTCTGTTTTGCTCTTGCCTGGTGGCTATGCAGACTATGCCAAATGTGCTTGCTACCCACTGCTAAAAATGCAACCTGTGATGCTCCTTATAAGCTTTTAATGAAGACAGACTTGATTTCGAATTCCATCTTCTTTTGCTTTTCAGAGCTGTTGGAATGTTCTGGTGCACTAGTTCTCTTCATCTTCTGCATTCCTCTCCTACCTGTGAAATCCTTCACTGCCACCGATTTAACATATCTCTGCCATGTCACCCACATCCCAAGGTACTGTATCATCACTCACTGGCATTCAGAACTTTATTAGCTCTGAATTTAGCTCTTTCACCTGAGTTTTGGAATTTTATGCCAATTTTTCAAGGGAACTGCCTCTTTTCACGGCACTAGCATAGGTATCTATTTTAGTGAGAACTTAATTATCCATCACTGTGATATCAGTCAAATGACAGTGTTTATCTGCAATTAACAGTGACAGATGAACCTCCCAGAAATATAAAAAGAACAACATTGTGCAGCATGTGATGATTTTCATTATATATTCAACATTCTGCAGCATGATGCATTACAGAAAGTGCCAATTTTTCTTTTCAATTGCTTTGAAAATACAGCAGCATGCACCTCTGGGAGGTTTCTCATTTAATTCAAGGCACATTCATTGAAAATGGATATGGAGAGGAAACAGGACAACTGAGTAAATGGTATGGAATGAAGTGGAGGAGCCATGAACAATAGATTTGATTTTCAGTGCCATGACAACAATTTCTATTCATGAGGTATGTGAAATTAGGCAAAGTCCTGCTGCAGAGTGGACAAGTTGAGGCACTGAAGTAATTAGGAGATGGGAAAATGTGTAAGAGGGAATTTGCGGTGCTGGCCAAAGCAGACAGATTTTTGTTTACATTAGGATCCCACAAAGAGCACTTGCCAAGCAAAGCAAGGGAATGTTCTTAGTACAATGAGATTGGTATTTCAAATGTACAGCCTATCATGGCCTCCAGCATAACGAATTAGACTGGCTTGAGAGGCCTCTGTTGATTTAAAAGCTATCTGTCAGAGATGTGCTTTGTGGAAGCCACATTTTGCCACACAGTGAATACCATTGTGCTTTTGTGAAGGTCTGCTGCCTTCACAAGATACAACTCACTTCACATTTCTTGTGTATATTGAAAATGGCCTCTTGTTCTTCCACAGAGCAGAGCAAGCTCTGAGGAGTCCTGACAGAGTGTTGATAAAGCATCACACCAGCATTAAAAATTAATGTACTCTCAAAGGCTCAGATCTAAGCTAAACTAGGAACAATTTATTGAAGCATTTTCCCTCAGTAAAGATTTCTGTGATTAGCCACTCGAGAGACAGAGTTGTTCAAAAGTATTTTATATTATTAGGTTTTCTGGAGGTCACCCTTTTATCATGGCAATAATGTGCTTCACTATGTGCTTCTCATTCAAAAAATGAGCAGTACTAGTTTTGTTTACATCCAAAATTTAATCATGTCAAGCACAGAAGGGTAATGGAAGACTTCAAACTAACATATGAAAATCTGAGAAAGCCCTAAAAACTGAAACTGGATACCCAGAATATAAATATCTAAGTTATTTTTACTATGTATTTCATTAGTACTCCAGATAGTCTAAAAATTGTACTCCAGACAAAACACAAAACCAGAGGTGTATTTATCAATTTGAGCACAGTGTCTAACCATGCAACACCTAAGTACAAGAGAACGGAGAAAATGAAAAAATGAGAGACTAGGAATGGAAAAACTGACAAGTCCATACCATGGATAAGTCTTATTTTTTCTCCACCCTTAGGGAGAACAGCTGTGAGCAGAAGGACTTGCCCAGTTCACCCCAGCCTCCAGACAACATGCTGACATTTGGCAGTTTGACTGTGCCCTCTGCTGTTAACAGGAACACAGGAAGGACTTACATGTCTTGAAAAGGGTTTCTAGGCAAGCCAAACTGGATTTGAGTTTGGAATCAAACATTTCTTCAAACTTCTCAAAGCACACTGGCAGCTGTGAAAACAAAGGTAAATGGGTAAATTAAAACATTGCCTTTTCTTTGTTTGCAAAATCACATCCCCAGATGCAGCAGAACAATGACTGCAGCTCATGAAATGGAACAGCCTGAAAATGGTTGTTTATTTGCCACTTGAAACAATTTGTCCAGCTGTTGGTTGCAACCCCAAAGAAGATCTGGGACGGCTCAAAAGGCTCATGAAATCTGAAGAGATTTCAAAAAAGAGAAACTGTTCTGTAAAATAGGATTAATAATAACGAATAAAATTAATTATAGAAGTGTTGGAGGAGAGACCTTCACCTTCAGACCACAATGACTAATCCTGAGAGTAGGCTGCTTTCTTCAGGCAGAATTAAAAAGAACTGATATTTGCAGGCTGTCACTACAGCTTGTTTTGCTCCAGAAGCCCACCCAGAAGTTCCACCATTGCCTCTGAGGCAAGTCCCTAAAGACATTGTCCCTAAGGCCACAAAGGCAATGGTATATGAAAAAAAAACTTACAGTTGTTGGTTTAAAGTATTTGAATACTTAAGACACACAATGTAGTATTTTAAATATCAGCATAGCAAAGGAAAGTGAGCACTGAACAGTCTGTAATATTTCTAACTCTTATCATTTTACATTATGAATTTGAAGTAACTTACCTCTTGAAGCCTGTCTTTGATGCTGAAAATAAAGGAGCTTAGGACTTCACTAAAATGGAAAAAAACCAAGTATGAACCAGAAATGTAAATTAAGAAAAATGTAAAGTAAGAAAAAAATACCTATACACACATGCTCATATATGTCATATACATGAAATTATGGGGGTTTTACTCTCATATTTTTGGCCTCTCTCTCAAATTTTCAGTTGGCATTTGCCCAACTGTCCATTAGCTCTGGGGTGTGATCACCGCGTTATCTGCTCCGGAAGGACCCAGCCTGTGCAGTGACGTGCCAGTTGCTGCGATACACGGTATTGTGCTTGGACTAAAATAACTGTGGGAAAAACACGGGAAAAGCTTCAGCATCAACAAAGCCAGGCCAGGAAGAACAAATACTGCAAATCCTTTTCTCCTGAGATTATGCCTGTGGTTTCTGTTATCTGTCCTTTTAAGTTGAGCCAGCGTATCAGGAACCAGGCTACATTCATGATTAAACTGCCACACCAAAATGCACGGGTTGCTAAGCAAAGTGATAACCTTTTCCTCTCTGAAGATTTGGGTCATTTTAAGTCAATCACTTGAGTGATCTAAATTATAGCAGCCAAAAATATGCAGAGGCCAGGTAGAATCTAGTTATGAGAATTAGGCAGTGCTTTTGAAATCTCTCTAGCCATATGGAAAGGAAGATGCTAATTTTCTTAGTCAAACTTGAGGGGGATACAAATTGATAAATTATACACTTATCTTTGAAAAGATAATATAGTTATTTCTAAAAACAGGCTTCTAATCTGGGAGCAAGTCTGGAGTGTAGGAAGAAGCATAATTCATTAAAAGAAAAAATAACGAATAATTATGAGTGATGCCTAAACATTTATAACCACTTTCTCATTTCATTACAAAAATCTTCCTCTAATAGGCAATAGAGAACAAAATTTTATCTTATCAGAAATGCAGTGCCCACTGAAAATGCAAGAGAGATACATAGCCAGATTTGATCAAAGGCTTTTAATAAAAACACACTTCACTTTGGATGTTACATTACAAAATGTACAGTGCTAAGAATTATTTATGGGTGCACTGGGGAGTTTGCCATATTTCATTTTTGAGCTTCAAATTGCTGGCTTGTTCCTTGAAGTCCTTCAGGACCTACAGGTACCTGCAATTCTTGGCATCTGACAAAGAGCAGATGCAAATTACATTAGCAAATAACACTTGTCTGTTACCAAAAAAACAATACATAAAAATCTTGTATGGAAATAAAATTCTAGAGATATGTGCAGGTTTATAAAGATGCAATCTGCACACCAGTGTGTTTGGCAATCCCCTTATTTGGCCCAAATACGAAGGCCATCCTCAGAGTCCCTTTTATCACTCCCTACATAACATATAAAAGCTTGAGAAATAAGGGTTTTCACAGAGAATCAATACAGAAAAAAGAAACAATGCTGATTAGATAAAGACAAAAGTAAATTCAGGTTAGAGTTCTGCTGTTCAGTGGGGTTTATGGCTGAATGTGTTACATAAGTTGCAAATAAACACTATCCTCTTACCTTGTAACTCTTTCCAGTTAGAAATTATTTAAAACTTGAAAATACTTTTGTTGGAGAAATATGCAGCTATGTCATGTATGATTTATCACAGGGGAAGAAGGAGATGCAGAGAGTGATAACCACCAGAAGAGAAAGAATTTCCAATGGATGTCTACATACCGGTCATATTTGTCCTTTATTTTGTTCTTATTCGCTTCAAAATTTTCCAATACATTTTTCACTCTTCCGGCACCAAAATTAAGAGAACCTTTTTCTCTTGTTTCTTCATCAAATAACTGTGGTTTTGTCTGGTATTTGGTAAAAATGCTGGGCTCGCTCTGTGACACAAACAAAAGAAAACTGTTGAAGTACAAAAAGAATCAGAACATTAATTAGAAGAATTCATTTGTTTATCCAGTGCAGACAGACTTCACAGTGATTGGACATGACAGATTACACTGGATGAGGAGATTAAGAATTTTGTGAGATTATGCCTCATTTAGTGTCCCTAGTTAGATCAACTCCCTGTGGAACTGAGACCCAGCCCAAATTCCTCCAGACATAGGCTTTTCTCTCATCTTGAGGATTTTCAGTTTGCTACAATTATAAGGTGTGCGGGGCTTTTTTCCTTCTATGTTCAAGACAGAGACTATAAATGAATTTCAGCATTCCTGGAATTGTGGAAAAGTTCAAGTTGTCAGTAGAATCTCCCTGTACAGGAATCTAAAAAAAAAAAAAATAATCTTATTGAATTGCCTGGTGGATGACATCATTTTGCTGCCAACTAGCAACATCGACAGACTGTAGATGAGTTTTTCACATGCTTCAATACACATTTTAGAACAAGAAATTTAATATTAATATGAAAGCTTCATTCTACAAAATTTCCAGACACTGTGTGACCAAAATGGAGATGCCTTTTCCTTAAAACATAAGAAAATGCAAATTCCATTAATGTTTTTTAATCGTGAAAAGTGAATTTCCTGTTTTGTGTCTGATGAAAACTGCTCCTAGGCAAAATGCATAGAACAGCAGATAACATCTGGAACTGAAGGACAGCCTGAAGCCTCCAAGCTGGCACCACTGCCCTTCCCTAATCTTTGCTCCAGGTGTGTTTATTCGGATCTCGTTCTCTCTGCTAGCTGTGCAGGAACTATTTTAGTAGAGGCTGGTAACATCAGAAACCATGAGCTGTAGGAGGAACATTGTGAGCATAGAAATTCTTCACCCCTATCCAAAATCATCCAAGCATCTACCTTAACAACAGAGCAGCAAGGTCACTGTCAGTGCAGGGAAGCTAACACTGAGTAGTTCTGTCATCCTTGCAGAAAGCTAAGGAAGTGAAATACATAATTTTTGGAAGAAAAATGCATGTAATATTCTAACTTGGCTAGGTAGGTGGTCTAAAGACATTAGCTTGACAATAATTTCATATTATTTTAGCAACTTAAAAAATGTGATTGAAGAAAATAATACCTATCTCAATAATAATTTTTAGCAATCTGTTATAAATACCACGTTCATCTCACCAGGCTGCTACTTTGTCTTGTCACAGTAAGGATGTATACTTAGGAAGAAGACAACTTGATTTCAGCAGTTACTGACATTTACAAATGTTGCCACCTGATTTCAGCATTTTCCATTAACTCTGAATGGTGGCTGTGTGCCTGCACAGGGCTGGCTGAGGTGAGACTCACATCCTGGGAGTTCTGCTGTCCCGGCTGTGTGCCCAGCTCCAGCGGTGCTGCTGCCGACTGCACATTCTCCGGGCAGAACTGGGAGCCAAAGAGCAGCTGGGAATCACTCAGACTCGAGTAGTCACTGGCAGTGTTGCTCCTTATGGAAAACTTATTGGACCTGAAATGGGCAGAGAGGGATGTGAATGAGTCTGGAGCAATTAAAAAGCCGAACAAAATTCCCTACATAGCCTGCTGGAAGTGCTACTCTGGATAACAATTTTTTGTAACTCAGGTGTTGCTTTGATCAGTTGGAAGGCAGTTCTAAGAGAATAAACCTTTCTGACTTGTAGCTGACATTTCCTGGGCATTTATTCTCCAGATGCCTTAAGTCTGACACAGTAAAATAACAAATAAATAGAGGTAGCATATGGCAGGATGAACTGATATGAATTGTTGGAAGTATTTCAAACAAGTTAACATGCTACACAAAAGTGCTCTTCTTTCCCTTGAGCGTTACTCAAATAAATCTTTCCTAGATACTCCTGATTTTCTGCTGTGTTGCTCTGATTCTACTCCTCTTCAGAAACACTCATATTCCTCTCCTGCTTTATGGACTAGGCTTGTGGCACAGGACCAGCTTCCCTCAGACAACGGCTTCCCTGCACAGCTGCACTGCTTCTCATTGTGTTGGAGGCTGACTTCAGTATTATTGTTAGCAAAAGTACATCCAAAAGACTTTTTTCATTTTTCACAAAGAATTGTAGAAGAGTTTGGGTTAGAAGGGACCTTAAAGATCACCTAATTCCAGCCCTCTTGCCACGGGCAGGGACACCTTCCACTGTACCACGTTATTTAAAGCCTTGAACATTTTCAGAGATAAGGCTTCTACAGCTTCTCTGGGCAGCCAGTGCCAGTGCCTCATCACCCTCACAGTAAAGAATTTTTTCATAACAATCAATCTAAATCTACCCTCTTTCAGTCTAAATGATCACTTTTCCATTGCTCCACATCCACAAGGTCTGGCAGAGTGTTTAGGTTAGGATCAAACACAAAAAAAGCTGTGCCAGGTTTATATTCTCAGATCTTGATTTTTTTGAGCTAGCAAGATGGAGAAATGCGTTGCTGCCTTTGGAGCTGGGAACTAGAGACCAAAAAAGGAGAAAATAATTAATGAAACATTTACACAAGGATTTTTTTCCATATCAAATGATACATGTAAAGGAGAAGGAACAGGAGAATAACTCATGTGTATAACAAGAGATGATCACCCCAACATTTATTAGCAATGACGTGTTTGGTTAATCCCAAAGTTTTGGAAGGAGCCCAAAATCACAGACACAACAGGGAAAGGATTTAGCAGCAGCACTTGAACTGATCAGTCTCCATTATATAGTAGTGTCACTGACAATATTATATTAATGCTTTTGGCTTTAAGTTCACTGAGTACACTGAGCTGCAGGCAAAAATAGATGAGGTATGGGTTTCTGAATTCTCAAAAAGCTTGATAAGTCTGTCTGAATTCAAACCTTCTCCCTTAATCCCTCTCTGGACCCCAAATCTGCTAAGAAAAAAATCTGAATACAATTTTCCTGCAATGCAGGAGTACATCTCCTGCACCAGTTTTCTAAATCCTCCTGTCTTCCAGCCAAAAAAGCTCCCTCTTAGTTTGAGGAAGAGTTTTTATAATCTTTAGATGCTTTAAAGTCTTGAAAAACCCCCTTTGAAAGAGTCCAGTACAACTGGTGAATGTCACACCCCACTATATGCTTGTTTTCTCAGATGCTTTAATACCTGAAGCACAATATTCTTATAACAAAGATTTTATGAGGAGTATTGAGCTGAGAGGACTTTATGAGCCAAGGGACTTCCTAGGCTTACTCTGCACTACAACCAAAGGCAGCTGTTGGCTCCTCTGGAGCCCAGTTTTTCTGTCTTAAGTCCACTACCTCAGCAGTTGGTTTAGGAATGATGGCACTTTTGCAAATTAGAGGGGGAGGTGAAACAGATGTCTCTTTTGAATACACTCACTCCCCTGAGCAATGTGTTTCTTTATCCCTTGCTTAACACTGCTGGCAATTAATTTACAAACAAGACCATCTGGGCAAGCCATCAGCCTGGCCATGCTTGGCCCAGGCCTGTCCCTGACAGAGAGATCAGACAACGATGATCACATGTGGGATCAGATCCACCATCAGGCAACTCCAGCTCTTCTAACCACCTGACCATTCCCTTCAGAATGCCTGAGATGCAGGGTTGCTGTCCTAAATATAAACCCTTTCCCATAAACAGCAAGGAAACATCCCAGGTATGCAATTCCACTTAGCAGTCCTCCTAAGTGAGGAGTTTACCTCAGGAGAACTTCTGACTTTCTGCTAACATGAGCCATGCCCCAAATCATCCGTGTTGGTGTGCATGACATTCCTTTGGTACTGGCATTAGCATATGCATCCAAAGCAAAACCAACTTTAGATATGTAAAAGAAGTTCTTGACAGCTCAAAAAAATGGTAAATCATCCTCTGCTGACTGATGGTCAAATGACTGCATTTTCCAACCTAACTTAATGCAAGGTATTGCAATATTGGCAGCTCCAACCCTTTCTCGTGATATGAGCGTGATCTAAAAAATCTGCAGCGTTCTGCATATCTGGGGGGTCAGCTAGATCTTCCCAATCTCTGTTTCCTTGTTGTCAGTGTAAATTCCCCCTTTATAGGAGGAGTTAGAACTTTCAGGAGCTTCTTTCATTTTTCTAATTTTCTGATTTCCACTCTAAGTATTTTAGCACAATCACATGCAGACATTCACTTTTCATTCAAAGGTTCTGCCTTGCCTCAAAACAAACATAGCATGTGATAAGTACCCTCTTCTTATATTTTCTAGATGTTCTAGGGACACTGACAAACTAAAGCTTCCTAACAGTAAATTGCCATAGACCTCATCAATCTTTCTTTAAGAACTGATATTTATACTCTGTTGTTTGGATATGTCCTAATGTGCCAACACCAAGGTTTAAGTGTCATTTGAAAAAGCAAACTGAGACTTCTACAATATGCAACATAACATTTATCTGCAGTGCTGCTATAAGTGATTTTCTCTGGTTCTGTCATCTCCACTGAACATGTGCCAACATCCTTCTTCTTCTCAAGCACTGTGGGTGAAGCTCGCTTATACCTTTCTGACACATTTCTTCAAAGTGCAGTAAAGCCTCTTTCCCAAAGAAATCTTTCTCTCCTAGTAGCAGTGTCTTGAGTAGGATCAGTGCCATAAAGTCTCTCTTCTCCTGGTTTCCCTCCAGAAAATCTCACAGCCCTTTCTGCTCTTCCTCATTTAGGGATCAGGGTTGAATCACAACAAATCCAGTATAAATTCTGGGAGCTGTCATTCACCTGCTCTTCCTCCTGGCTTTAGCCTGTATCTATAGGAACTGTCTCTAGCTCTGCTGCACTGCTCTCATCCTCACTATCAGCTGCCTGCCAGTGTGCCAGTGTTCTCAGCAAATGAGCAAGGCTCAACCTTGGCTTTGGGTACAGGGGAGCTGGAAGAGTTAAAATCAAGGTGGTTTAGCTGCTAGTGCAGCCTCCAGCCATTTGCCATCTCTTCACTGGAAACAGTCACAGCAGAAAATTATTCTTGTGCTTCCTGTCCTCTGGAATGGCATGACCTCCTTGTGCTCCACATTGTAAAAGGAATTTCTACAAACACATTCTGGCACTGTCCCTAATGCATTAACCACTATGAAATGCCTCTCAGTTATTCAGCTCGAACACTGCCTCCGGTTTCCAGATTTCAGGTTCAAAAATCCCTCTGGTCTTATTTTAATTTCTCAATTTGCTTTCTATGAGTTTGTTTATTATTCATTCAGCTGTGATTCAATACTGCCCAGACATCCTTACCTTGGCATCCATGTTATCCCTTTGCCCTGAGCTGGTTGCCAGTTACAACAGAGCCTTTTCCTTAAGAGGAGATTGGCATTTCTGCAGAGTAGCCCTGTTTGCTCCCACAAAATGCTTCCCCAACCATATTAAATGTTAGGCATCTGGAGACAGGGATTTTTTTTGGCAACCCCCTCTCTAGTCTGAAGCCATATTCCAACCTGCACTTAGAGCCCTGGTTTCTCATTCCTGTGAGGCTCTGGAATTTTACAGCTGCTCTCCTGGTCTTTGTCCTGGCTGTCGCCTTCATTTTCTGCTTATTCTTGAACCTTAATGTGACTTGGAAATATGTGACCTTGTGATTTGGGATGGAATTTCACGGATAATGGATTAAATGAGGTTTTTAAACTTGGAAGTTATTCTCAACAGCAGAAATAAACCATAGAGAGTAGGGGCCCAAGTAGGCCTTAACTTCAAGAAGCTGTTTAGGATGCCTCTTTAGTATTTTCATATTTTCTTGGCCTTACACACTCTCTGGCGGACTTTCTGCTTCTGATGTGTTTGGAAGTCAGTATATGAGTAGCTTTTATGCATTTAGCAAGTTAGTTCTTTACTCATGGTACAAGAAATTTCTCGTAACTTCAATTTCAAATCTATATAATCAAGTCTAAATAACCTTTCTGCCTCAGGCCAGCATTTAACCTGTTGGGGTATACAGTTTAATTTATTTTTAATGAGGTTTATTATTACTATTCCAGTGTCTTATTTCTTTTAATTAACAGTAGTGGATTTTTTTGTTTCTGCTGCTCCTGCAGAGATACTGACTCAAGTTCCCTACTGCCACTCTCATGGTAGCACTACAAGAGTAAATAGCCTGAACAGGGATCTTGTGCTCAGTTCAGGGCCAGGGTAAGATGTGTCTCTTCCCCTGTGAGCCCCCTGGCCAAAGCAGGTATTGATGGTGTCTGAAAATGTACTTTCAGCATCACAGCCCTGTGATGCTTATCCAATCAAAGGCTGATTGAAGCATCAGTGCTTTTGTGGCTGCTGTTCTCACACCCTCTGTGATCTCCCTCTGCCAGCCCTCCTGGCTGGGCTCGAATGTGGCACTTTCTCTAATGAAGGCTGGCATTTCAATCCATAAAAATGGTGTCCTTTGTCAATATACTGCAATTGAGCCTAAGCTTTCCCAGTATAGCTGTCATGTGGTCCCTTTCCACCCTCTAAAATAACTGGAAACCTGATACCATTGTCCAACCTAATAATCTTCCCTCTGCTGCATTTCTAGTACCTCTATAATGTCACTATTCATACATAAAACCAGGTGGAGCAGGGGTTCTGGTTCCCCACACCCTATTTCTCAGGCTGTTAGGGTTGCAGAGAAGCACTTGTGTGTCTGACAGATAACAAATAAAACCCAGAGCACTTTTGGGCTTGTGCAGAGCTGTGTCTATGAGGACAACGCATCACTGGAGCTCGGCATTTCCTGGGGACCTGGTGGCAGCTGCTCTCAGAAGTAACACCCTGACTCAAACTTGCAAGGAACTCACAGAGTGAGTCATACTCTGCCTAGATTATACACTGATTTTATGTTTCATTTTTAAAGCTCCCTGAAAGAGTTTTCTGGGGATTAAACAGCATACCCTGCTGTGGTGGGAAAGGTTTCTAGTAATAGA